GAAACTTTAACTTATACATAGAAAATTACCTTTTGGTGTTTCGCTTTAAGTCTTTTCTCGTTTGGATGGCATTTTTTGGTGTATCTCCTATCGTTTGTCTTTATTTCAGCTATAAACTGCCTGAGTTCTTCGTTTTGTATAAAGACTGGATCTTTAGATGACAATTTTGTTATCTGATCGGACATTCTTCTTTTAATCTTCTCAAAAGGCCCATCTTTGTAGAGAGCTTGGCATTTCTCTGGCAGTCTGTCTATGGCCTGTTTCACTTCTGGGTAAACAGATGGCCAGTTGCATCTGTTTTTTACATATCCTCTAACAATAAGAAGTTGTTCCTTCACTGAAATTTCCACATGCGTTCTCTTCTTTTCAGCCAGGATTCGAAGACAAGCACATGTGCACAGAACGGTCTGTTTGAATATTTGTTTTCCGTTTCGGTTGAGATAAGCTTGAAGACCAAACGTACGGGGAAAAAATTGCGGGATCGAAACAAAAATCGAGCTGTTGGACTTTTTAAAAGTAATAAATAGATGACTGTTTTCTTCATTTGTTTTGGGGATTACTTTTCAAGTGTGAATTTCAGTTACATTTTTAAAAAGAAATATGATCTGTTACTGCTCATAACAGCGTCATGTTTGTATACAAGAGAAAAAAAATCGTTTTTTACATGTTCAAAATCAGATCAAAGAATCCTTAAAAAAGACTAACTGATTTTATTGACACTAATGGTTGAACTTTATCATATCCTAACCTAAATATATATGTATATATATATATATAAAAACAGTAATGTCAAAAATATTCAGCATTTTCGAGTTTATGAAAATGATTGAGATAATTTTGTTGATGTGTACTGAGATAAAATTCTTATATATATATATATATATATATTTTCAGCCTTATTTTTTTCCTATATATATATATATATAATTGTTATACAGTTTTGAGTTTTAAAATTGAGAATGGAAATGGGGAATGTGTCAAAGAGACAGCAACCCAACCAAAGAGCAGAATACAACCGTGGGCCAGCCGTAGGTCTTCAAAACACCGACAAAATTTCGCACCCGAAAGGCGGATTCAGCTGCACCCTAAACAAAATCTGAACTGATAACAATATCGAAATTTTTTTAACAAACTCAGTTGAAACCAATTACGGTATTTAAAAAACTAATGCATCTTCAGCTTATAAAATTCCTGAAGCCGGAAAGGAATAGCAAAACGAGAACACATTTGTCGTTGACTATTCAAAATCGATAAAAATTAAGCAAGCTGAGTTAAAAGCACTCTGTTTTTGGAGACAAAATCGCCCGTTGTATACATGTATACCATTTGAACAGACCTAGATGAACGAAGAAGAGAAAACGTTCGCTTTTTTTGCTTTTGATGTATTCTCACTTAAAACTAATGGCTTGTCCACCACCGCCATACATTCCAGACGAACAGTTCTTTTGTATCTTACTGCTGTTTCAGATGTACCAGGAATATTTGGGACTTGTAACAATGCCTTTACCATTTTTCAATATTCGCCTTCGAGATAGAATTTTAGAAAATGAAAACCAGGAATCACTAGCGACGAATAATGTGTACGCAACTCTCTGCAACCGTCCCTATGAATTTTGGATTCTTTCCAGAGAAACTGTTCGTTCTTTTAATAATTTAGTAATTATGATATCACAAAGGATTCCCCAGATTAGATTTGGAAATAGTTATGTTTCTCTCGAAAACAGAGTGCTTTTAACATTGATCTGGTTACGACAATATCCGACGTATACCCTGTTATCTCTATCTTTTGGACTTAGTGTAGCCAATGTAGGCAAAATTATTAACAACATGTGGGTACTACTTTAGGAAGTTTGTTCACCACTTGTTACTTGGGCGAGCGTACAAGAATGGACAGCGAAGCAAGGACATTGGAGAGAAATGGCAAATGTCGTGGGGTCCATCGATGGTACTTCTCATGAGATTCTAGTTCCAATGGTTGAACCTCAGCAGGAATTTTACAGTGGACACCGTAATATCATTGCATTCACACACAGGTGAGATAAACGGTTACCCGTATATAAATAACATGAAAAGCTAAATGTACACACACCTTTTTTATCAAAATAAATTAATAAAAATCATATAGACCTTTAGGAAATCAATGTTTTTTCCATTTATCTTATTTTCATATTGTCTTTAATGAATCACTCTCACAGGAGCCTGTTGTGTTTTCATAAACTGGAACACTGATTTTCATTCTCATGTACCCACCGCCCTTTTCCTAAAAATTTCTTCGACCATAGATTTCATCCAACAATAGAAAAAATTAAGGAAAAAATGGGGGGGGGGGGATTACATGTTTAGTGAACAAAATGTTCATTTTACACATTAGTTCTAAATGAATTTAACAATTACAGAAAAAGTTAGTGACGTCGTCGTTTATTTATATAATTACTCGAACTGGATTGAACCTGTTGCTTAACAATGTATACATTTAACCTGTTGAAAAGAATATGCGAACAGGTTGAAAATTGAGCCGGGCATTTGGTTGAAATCTTAAAATTGTACTATGGCTACTTTGGTATAAAAAATGGTCAATTATATATAAAAGCTATTGTTTTAAAACAAAAAGTAAATACATATTTTTGATTTTTCAGGTGATAATTGACAACGAAAAGAATATTTGCTATATCCATTCTGGCTTTCTTGGACACGAAAATGACGATCATGCGTATCAGCAACTCGGACCAATTGGACCTGGCGCACTCTAGACTTTCCAGCAGGGTACTTTATTTTAGGAGACAGCATATACCCAAACACTCCTCCTCTAATCGTTCCATATAAGGCTGCCGAAATTTTTCGGGCAGATGCAAGAGAAAAAAGGAGGATGAGAAAATTTAACAGACTACACAAGAGCAGGCGTGTGTATGTAGAGCATGTCATAAAAGAATTAAAAACATTTAAAGTCATTGGTTCGTTGTACTGTCACCCAATATGGCAATTGGCATGTGTTGTAGAACTTTGTGCTGGGTTATCAAAAAGACGTGTGGATATAATAAATGAAACATACTAAAGTTTTGTCATCTTAATCACTTTTCAATCCTTTAACAAATGCTAATCTCGTCGTGATATGCACGGAGTACTTGCCACTGAGCGTTAAACATCCAACAACCAATAAATCAAATGCACAGACAGTGACACAAAATGCAAGTTTTTTTTTTAACAACGACATTACAAAAACAATGTTCTTTTTTAATGGGTAAGGGAGATAAATCGAACGCATATACGACATGTAAACAAACATAACTCAACGTAAGATTACGCAACATTCAACAACACAAAATCAATCGGAACACTAATCTTTAACAACAACAATAAAATGCAAGGTTGCAAAAAGAATGTATAATTGTTTATTGTTGTCTTTAAACATACTGCAATATCGTTAGAAATATTTTTCTGCACAAAATGACTGCTCCCTACCGATACGTTCGTCGAGTTTCGTCCGTTCGTAAGATGTTGAGAAACCTCTAATACAACAAAAACTTAAGATAGGAATTAGAAGATGTGGTATGAATGCCAATGACGTAAACATAGTCAACGATAGGTCATTGTATGTTGTTCAACATTTAGCAAAAACCATATAGAATAGAAGGTTTAGATAAACAATCTTTTGAGAACGATAAATTTCCATTTTTTCCATTAAAAAGTCTTCAACGTTATGTATATCGACGTGCAACATTTAATTTCCTTGCATTAATGTAAAGTTGTCGAAAAATATGTACCAATCGTTAATAAGAATAAACTGTGTCTCACAAAGTTTCAAACATCGAGCCAGTGATTTGTTTCCATCAAAAGTTTGCTCTACCACTTACTTATTATCTTTTTTAAGAGTTAGTTGTAAGATAGACATGTTGTACAGAGACTTGTTCATTGGGAATTTCGAAATAATCAGATTTTTGTTAGTTTTAGTTGTCTTCCCATAATTTCTTATATGCTTAGGTATAATTTGTTTACGGTTCAGTATGTCTATTTAGTTGTTGAAACCTCCGAGAGCACTATAATATAAGAAGGAAGAAGATAACAAATCGGAAAAAGACAAACAAACACATAGTAATTTGAAAATTGATCGAAAAAAAAAAAAAAACAAGCCACAAAACACAAATTTTGAAATTAAATATTGAGTAACATAAACATTACCAAAAACCCTGGGATAAACACAAATTGCTTATATCGATTAGATGTAAAAAGTAAAAATCACAAAAATACTGAACGCCAAGGAAAATTCAAAACGGAAAGTCAATAATCAAATGGCAAAATCAAAAGCTCAAACACATCAAACGAATGGATATATAACAACTGTCATATTCCTGACTTGTAATGTGTTCTGTACATTTATAAACGAATTCTCATTTATACATGTCAATATGATTATTTTGAACAATGAATGATCTGTGAATTTAAAGATTAAGAAGGACTTTAACTTTAAAGACAACATTTCCTTTTTTGAAAATGGATTTTTCTGATTTTTTGAAAAATATCGAACCAGCAAGTAATAAACTACTGTAACCATGCATCAGAATATTTAAGAAAGGCTGTTCTTAAAAAAAAAAATACAACAAAAGTTAATGATAAAATGTGTTGAATGTATCATATAGTTTTGATTACATATAATGCTGGTAATTTAAAGATAATTTCAATCTCGTTCACCAGGACTATTTTGCAAAAGATGTATTTTGTCCTGCAATTTTAATTCTAGTATACATATGTTGATAGCGCTGGATGGTGTTGGACTCCATAGAATAACCACGGCTATGTTTTTTAGTAAGATGCCTTATTGTGGCTTAGCGGTTCCTTTATGTCAGGTTCATTCCTATATTCGGCGTAGAAGAAAATAGAGATTAGGAAAGATATCCACCGTTTTTCATAGTTATCAACTTAGCTATCTAATCGCTGCTTAAATCAAAAATTTATCTATTATTAAGAACACATGCCATCCTCAAATGCATATCCGTATCTCTTACCTCGGGTAACATAATCTTGATTTTTTTCACACTGTTCAGAAAACCGTAATCGATTTGTATCAAAAAGACATGTGTATTCCGATCTGAAACTGCTTAAGCAATATGCTGATGCCCTTAGTGTTCTCTGAGATATATCTGGACATTGTAAATGGTAGGAAACAGTCGTACACATCACTGTCAAAATCTAAAATATAACATATTTTATAATTACATGTACATACAATCAATATAATAACTTAGTATGTTTCTTTTTAGCAAAAACCATTCCATAGTGCTATCGTAACTGATATATGATAATGTCAAAAGCTTTAGTATTGAATCACATGTACAAATGATACGTACATTACCATGATTAGTGTTATTGAGGATTTACACAATGTCTACAAAATATGAGAGATGCTTTTTTTATGTAATTTTCCTGTAACAGTGATCATTATTGTTTAATATTTCATAATGAGGTTATGCAAACGAAAATACCAAATTCACAAAAATTCCAACTGACTCAATTTTCGCAAAATGAAATTATTCACAAACTTTTGCTACTTTTTTAGGTGATGAACCAAAAACCACGAACGTTTCAACTATGTGCATGCTTTCAAAACTGCACCAAACACCTTATAAATATAAAATGTATTTTGTCTTGAAGCCATTGTTCCATTACTAAACTGTATATTCTATTTACTATTACACTCTATACAATCAAAACCATGTTAAGGGATTAATTTTTTTGTGAGTGTCAAAATTTTGTTGAAAGTACTTGACAAATTGCTTGTTCATATTGGTGCATTTGAATCTGTTCTAAGTTTTGGTATTTTTTTTTGCCCTATACTCCTTTTTGCTTCATAATCTCATTAAGAAAATTAGCTAATTGAATGATGATTTAAATAGTCAGAATGTGAATATATATATATCCAAACAGTTTTAGGTTAGTTTTTAGTAACATTAAACAACGGAACTATGTCAATGGGATCTGCTTTGATATGATTACTGTAAATGGATTTTCACGACATAACATTTATAATTGCTATGGAGATTACGCATACCACCAAGTTATCGGAAATTACAATATGGACTCACGTGGACTTATTGTGGACATGTTTCTGTATTATTATTATGTCTAAAATCAGCAAAAATCCATCGAGGAAAATCTGATACAAAAATTTCATATCAATTTTAGATATTAAGATGACTTTTTAGGATCTCAATAATGAAAACCGCAGTATGAAAACTATAAAGATTTATTCTCTCGAACTTGCTTGAAAAATCAATACATACATATGTTCAGTGAATTTTAAGTGGTTTTTGCTTTAAATATGACATTGTATAGTATTCAGAATAACATGGACAGTCATGAATTAAATCATTATACTTGCGAAATAGCAGGGGGTGTGGGAACAAAACAAAAGCAAACAAAATCAAACGAAACTAAACGAAATGAACATGTTTAATTACCAATCAAGGTAAACGATAAAACAAGAGGCAGACGGGCATCAAAGCGTAGAAAATTGAATAAAACAAATACATATTTCTAAAGAGCGAAGACTTAATTAAAAAAAAGACACACTTTCATTATGGTCATTCTTGAGTAGGAATAAAAAGAACAAAAAGAGTTGAATCATTTTTCATTACAAAAACAATATATAAGGAAGAGGCTTTATTTCTTTAAATAAATCGGACATCATCATATGATATATTAGTATCCTGAAATTTTCAAGGTAGCTATTTAAAAAAAAAAACATTTCCCCAACATATTTCAAACTCCATCAAACAGGTTAATTTTATCTACAATAAAAAATTTCTAAAAGAAGCTAAGCATTTCAGATAATTTATTTAGAACTATTTGGTTATCAAAATCAATCAAAAGATAACAGCGAAATTCGAATTTATTGGTCGTAATGGACAAAAGGTATTCTAGATTGGATAGTCGACTCCTATCTAACAATTGTGTTTGTTCCACACTTTTGCCCAAACGTCACTTGCTTAATAAAGCGCCCATCAATTTAGGAGAACAGTGAAAACTGACCAACTCGCAGTAAGTCGAATAATATGGTAAGATTGAGTATGTAAATATGTATGTTAAGCAATACTGATTCAACCAAAATGGTTAAATAAACGTGAATTACTTTAAATTTGAAGTCAGATTTTTTATTTTGCTTTCGGCTTCTTACTATCTGCATCCATATAGGCTGATATAATCATTGAACGTACATTTTGAACGATCATCTTTAGTCTTTTATCGATTTCACGACGATCATATATGGCCTTTTATTATTGATTTCAAGTCCAAGTATTGTTACGGTAGCTGAAATACCGAATCAGTGGTGTCGTAATGAACGTCGTTTCAAATGTAGGAGGTTGTCGATTGGATTTTTTTAAGTATCTGCTTTACACTGCTTATCCGCTATACATGCTGTCTTTAAGATTTAGACCAATTATTAGAAGCTTGGAACCAGGATAATGCTAAGAGGTAGACCATTTATATCAAACTCAGCGTGGTAGTCTGAAAGTTTGAATTCATACCACATTTCACATAAACATTCCAGTCTGAATATCCATGTAATAGTTGCCGCTGTACATACAGTGCCATTCTATCCATATGAGCTGTGGGCATTTTGATAAATGCGTGCTCTGCGTTTTAATTACATGAGCAACACCATACAATAGTAATGATAATGAAATATTTGTTTGTGGTTTCATAAGTTTGTATATGCGATGTTTTCTCTCTCTTGTAGAGGCTTGCAGATACTTAGCCTGTTGCCCAGTTCAATTTAATATATTTTGAAAAAGAAAACACATTATTAAACAAAACCGCAATTTAAATGATATAATGTTTTATAAGTTCACATTACCGATACGCATTTTAGAAAGTTGCAGTGACCAATTTTAATGGTAAATTATTTTCGTTGATTTTTGTCATATATACTTTTCCTTTATTGATTTACTTTTCCTTTATTGATTTAGCATAATTTTGGTCGTTGGTTGTCTTATTTTATTATGTCATGTAAAACGATAGGTAAAGCGTCCGGCTGAGATATTGTATTTTCGTGTGATATTAAATGCGGTCAGACCGATTAACTGCATGCAATTCACTAGTAACAATATTTAAGTCTGAAACGGTCATTTTGGTCTGATCAAGTCTTAATCGACTGGATTTACTGCTAGGGAAAAACGTCAAGACTTTTTCAGTCTTTCAGACGCTGTCACGATATACCGTGTTAAGTCCGTTCAGTCATGTCAAGATAAACAAGACAGATTGTTCTTGCATTCGATTAAGACTTGATTAGATCATGTTCAGATCAAATCAGACCAAAGGTAAAAATGCTGTTTAGATTTTGTAAGATCGTGTTCATTCGTGTTAAGATTTTAAATATTCGGATGCAAAACGGGCGACACTTTCTCTGTGTTTATCAGGGGTTGTTCCCCCTTTATGAATAAAATCGGCAAAGCTTGGAGGATATTCTTTTGTGGTCTTTTAATGTTATATTGTATGTCTATTTCATTAAATAACGTTTGCAAACTTGCAATTCATTTTTTCTGATGTTATTTCAAGTCAACTTTTAATTGGTTATATAAGAAAAGAATAATTGTTGTAACCGGAAAAGTGTATAATTCATAAAACTTTGCAGTCGTGCTTTCTGGCATTAAGTAATCTAGTATTTATTCATTCCATCTGTAAAGATATAATGATTAGTAATAAATATCAAAAATGTTCTTAAATAAATGTTTGTCTGTGATTTAAAATAATTGTTCTTAGTCATATGAAATTTGCCAAGGAAAACATATTCTGAGTATCTTATGTACTTTATATTTTTCTAATTTTTGACAGATGACAGATATTTGGTGAAAGTTATTTGCATTTCAATATACGGATTATCTGAGCATTCAACCGAAACGTGTTGTCAAACACTATCTAAATAATTATAAATACCCATGCAACGCTGTGACTGCTTTATCCATGGAATTTAAGTGAAATATATTTAAATGTTTTATCATATATAAGGATACACCGGATACAATTATTCCATTCACAAATTATGAAACATTGTTTTTAAATAAATGCAACAAGAATACAAGCATAATTTAAAAATCTAGGTGACAGTTTATATTTACTAAATATTATTTAGTATACACTGTAAAAATGGTGTTTAGAGTCTAAACATAATCCTAAACGCAAATTTTGTTCTCACTTGAGCACATGTTTAACCTTAAACATGTTCTACTTTGTATATATGTTTAGGTTTAGAACATCATAATACTGTCTCATAAGAACATGTTTAACCCTAAACATATTTAACCCTCTAGAACATGTTTAACCTCTATGTGTTCCTTTCCTAAACATGCTTAACCTCCGTCATGTTCCAATTCTAAACATGTTTAGCCTCCGTCATGTTCCAATTTTAAACATGTTTATCGGGTATATTTGTGCTTGAGTACTCGTGGTAAATACTACTGTGACAAGAGTCATCCAATCAGTCTTCAAAGACCATACAGTAACTCCAAAATCTACTGTCGGTGTCTAAAATTACATTGGAATCTTTAGATGTGCAAGCAGTCGCAACCTGAAACAGATTAAAACAATCCACAAAGTATCATGTATAAAATACCTTAATTTTAATAATATTTCTTTAAATATAATTATCATAACGTTTGTTTGCGATTCCTTTTATAAATAATTAACAAAAAACGTGAATTCAGATGTGTAGATGTAAAACAAATTTAAAAAATAATATGCCTCCCCCTTTTTGTCGATATTGTAAAGGACCTTGTGGTGTTTGAAATTTCCTGTAAGGACACTCTCTAGTTTCACCTAATTACATTGTAATTGACAATAATAATAGATAATACTTATCTGACAGTTCCGTCGTCGCTTTTTGAACCTTCCATGGCATGGATTGTTGATCTTCTGCATCCCGGAATTTCAAAATTTCAAACGCATGATTATTTGCGCACGCGCCAACAGTGCTTCCTATTGTTTGTTGTGTTCTAAACCTAAACATGTTTAGGCTCATGTCATGTTTAGCTTATAGTTATATCTAACTTCAAGTGTCTTGTGTTCTAAACCTAAACATGTTTAGAGGAATATCACGTTTAACATTGAAGTGTTTAGGATTAGAACATAATCCTAAACATGTTTAGATCTAAACATGTGCTCAAAGTGTTCTATCTCTAAACTCCTTTTTTACA